TGGATCCGAAATAAGTACAGCCACATAGTGGTACTCGACTCAACCTAATCATAAAGACGAGAAAGACACGGTGCGTGTCGACGCGTGCCAAACCTAAAACGACTTAAGTCATGAGGACTCGACTCCTATATTGAAAACCAATGTGGCGAAGCAGGGACAAACAAGAAATCCAAAGGAAATTTCAAGTGAAGAAGATCTAACACGAAGATTCGCACAAAAAGATATGAACATGAAGAACACCCAAGGCCTCCTAACCCAGAGAAATCCAGATAGGATCGGAAATCCACAAAAATAATACAAGTAAAGAACCAACAAGAATTGAGAAGGAAATGAACTTACACATGATCGTTGTTGGAGAACTCTGAAAATCTGAAGTCGCCGGAGAGAAAGAAGCGCCGGAAAAGCCAAAAACGTGGAGGGCACCGGAGAAGCTTGAGAGGTTTCAGAGAGCGAGAGAATGCGAAAAAGTGACACTCTGAAGAAGGAAGGAATACTTATATAGGAGGTAGGTGATTACCAGCCGTTAGATCAAGATAAGATCTGATGGTCCCTAACAAAGCACGGAATCCGAAGCGGCGGAGTTGAAGCGATGTGATAAGTATAGATTTGAATTTTGAATTTCGAAAATATGTCAGGCTGTCAGAACTATCCAGAAGATAATCATGAGGTCTTACAACAGCACCGTAGGATTACAAGACAAGGACCTCGATGTCAAGGAATGAATGACGAGCAAAGCTAATAAAAGTAATCGATCACCAAATTTACTCTTAAGCTCTAGTTCGCTTAGAGTAATTTTGGAGGGGGACTAGATGATATAGCCATATTACTCTATACTGGCTCTAAAACCCCTAATTCGACCGGGTAGCTACATAGACCGTCCACATGGCGATATGTTCCCATCGACATACTCAAATCGACTTCAGCAATGTCGACTCTAACGTAGAATGGCCGTGAAGAGGCGGAAGTCTGGCCAGTCGACTTTCTCAGGTCGACCTCAGTATGTCGACTTTCAATAGGTCGACACCTGTATAAGAACAATAAGAGCGTAATCTCCGAGCATTCAGATACCCTGAGTCGACTCCCAACAGTCGACTTCACTAAGCCGACTCTCGTAAGACGACGGTGTTTTGGGATGGATGAACCACTTAATTGGGCGAGGGAACTAACAAAGCGTAGCCTCCGAATCCTCATATGATCATAAGTCGACCTCATAGCTCTCGAGGCCGACTTAGTACGTCTCGAAGACCAAAGATGTGATGACGACTCATCACACTTGAAGCTCTACATCTTTCAAAGGGATAAAGGAGAATCTTGTGATGACGCAGCAGCAAGAGGAGACGAACCGAACGGGGCATTTTGGACCTTCTAGGTCCACCGACTTGGGCATTTCGGGTACTTCGTGTAAGTATTCACTTATATATAAAGAAGATCAGGTAACCCTAAACCCTAACTCTCATTCATCCCACACACTCCTCATAGCTGCTGCGCAGCATCCCTTCATCTCTCTCATACTGACTTGAGCGTCGGAGGCTCTACGCCGGAAACACCTCCGGCGTTGAGTTCTTGCAAGTACTCTCGCGGTCTAGCAACGGTTCGAGGCCGATTCAAACAGATATGATCTCTTTACCACCGGTTCACTCCAGATCTAAGAGTAGACCCATCAAAGATGATGTTGACTCTCCCGGAACTTCTAGAAGAACTTCAGTCGACAGAGGGCCTATTTAGTCAGAAGCCTCAAGCTATGGTGGCCCAGCGAGGCAAGGGATTTTCTTCTAGGCCTGGCAAGGGTAAGAAGAGGAAGAAGTCCACAGGAAAGGGCAAAGCAGTCATGAATGATGTGCAACCTCAGAGGGGAGCAAAGAAGCCGAAAGGCAAATGCCACAGATGCCAGTAGAAAGAAAACTGGAAGGCCGACTGCCCTATCCTCAAGAAGGGCGATAAAGGTAAATCTTTTTCATTAGTCGTTGAAACATGTTTAGCGGTGTTATCTACCAGTACCTGGTGTGTAAATACAGGAGCCATAGATAATGTCTGCAATAACGTGCAAGGCTTCCAAGAAACCAAGCGGCTTAGGGAAGGAGAAGTTACCATCTACTTGGGCGATGCTAGTAAAGCGTCAACAGTTGCAGTGGGAGAAGTCTACTTAGATTTTGGTTTAGATAGGATTGTAATTTTGAAAGATTGTCTTTATATTCTTAGCTTTAGAAAGAATTTGATTTCAGTTTCTAAGTTATTTATGAACGGTTTTTCTGCTATTTTCGACATTAAAGTTGTTATTCGTTTTGGCAAAAAGTTCATATGTGATGGTCCATTAGTATACAATCTGTATATCCTAAAACCAAAGTCTAGTCCACTGCAACATAAACAATTACTTAATTCATCATCTAATCTGAATAAGAGGAAGGAATCTTCGAAAATGAACGAAACATATCTTTGGCATCTCTTTATTAACCTTCTCCCACACTGTATCGAGCGAACCGGTCGACGTGTTAAGCCACTGCTTCAACACAGCGTGGGCACTCTCCACCCTACATGAAGTTGTGTTACCAAAATGTGTTATCTTATTCGTCCACGCTTTGACAAACTTCTCCTTGTGGACTAACCATGTCTGCTCCACATATTCTAACAGTCTCTTAAACGTCCAGTACCGAACATACATGTCAGCTACGACAATGTTGTATTATTCCTCTGTAGCCGCTTCGACAACCTTCTTCCACCTGCTGTGCATGAACTTCTGAGCGAAGTCTTTATTTTTTTTAACCAGTCGATATACTCTGTCTTCCACATCCTTGTTGATGTGCCACGTGCAAAGTAAGTGGGCAGATACTGGAAAATTCCTTCGAATAGGAGTAATCAATCCCAACTCCCTGTCAGTGACAATGAAATTAGGATGTACATCATATCCTATCAGAAGTCTCAACCTCTGTAGAACCCAGTCATAGTTGTCCTGGGTCTCGTCCTTGATAATTGCATATGCAATTAAGAAGTTGTTGTCGCACGGCGTCATCCCAATAATTTCTACCAACGACATCTAGTACCTGTGCAAACGAGATCAACAAGAGGAAACATAGAATCAAAAAACGTCCTCAAACATACTAATTAAAATTCATACTAAATTGTTATTTTATAAAGTAACATGTCTGTTGGTTTTGTACGTCGAATCTATACCGACATACCAATAATATGTCCGGAATAGACATGCTGATGTAGGAGGCGACATGAACAACATCTGTATAAACTATATACTTGTTCTCCGTAGCCAAATGCATAATCTGGGTAGTCACATCTCTACCCTCGAAACTATCTCTCCGCAATTTAACTCTATAGTTATAACACGTCGCCGAGTAGCGTTGTCTGTCGGATTTTTTTTCCTGGATCGCAGCCAAAATTGCAGCCGATTTTGCCTGAGCAGCAATCATATCACAGACAATCTCTGTAGATGAAGCATTAAGTTCGCTCATCTGTCGATGACCCTCAGGATACACTGTCATTGAATGAATATGCACACGGATCATCCAATATGTAGATCCTGCCACCAGTTTGACTTTTATCTCAAAAGGACATTTGCTCGCTTTAGTTTTTGTGCGTCTGGAAGCTGCCTGATCTAAATCTCATATTTTGCCTCTATAACGTTCCTCTCGATGACACTTCAAAATCTTCAACTTTCTTCTTTTTTTTTTAATGTTTCGAAATAACCAATCGAAACCATAAAAATTTTGCAATATTTTTTACCCACTCAATAGCGTCAATATCACTAACAAATAGTGTATCTGTAGTGAAAGCATCTATGTAATCAACACCGTCTCATTTAAAATCTTCGAGTGACACCTAATATATTACGATGTATGTTAATAATTTTACAAGATAATCAATTATAACCTATAAAATAAATTCTAATTTATAAGATAATCAAATTCTAATCTATATCATATTAATTTATACTAATATAATTTTTTCATTAATAAAAATTAAATAATAAAAAAATATTCCCGGCCACATACAGCCGAACACGGCCAGTCTCCGTCGGGCCGACCGGCTAAACAGTCCAGCCCTGGCCCGGTCGGCCGCCGATTGCGGCGAGAAGCAGCCTCGGGCCTAGTTAAACGGCCGACCATGACCATTACGGCCGGGTTTGCCGGTCGGCTGGCGGCCGTCCGGTCGGCAAAATAAATAAATAAATACCTCACTGGAAGATATTCTTGTCGGAAATCGTCTCGTACAGAGGATTTTATAATGTTTTGAGGTTTTTGAAAAAATGGCAGCGGCGAAATAGTCTAGGCGGGCGGTACGTAGTAATAAGGGGCGGTGAATTGTATCACCCAATAGTAGAGAAAATAGGCGACGGTGAATAGTAACACTGGATACGTAGTAATAGGAGGCGGTGAATAGCAATTTAGAAAAGAAAATGCACGCAAAATGAAATTTGCAAGTAGAGCATGGTTTTTCAACCTGGACCGGCCCAACGGGTCGATCCGGGATCCAGCCGACCCAAAGCCGGAACCGGTCTGGGTGGGCTATTTGGACCGGGTAACAATGGACCCGGTCAAAATCCGGCCTTGACCCAGTCGACCCGGGTTATTGACCCAGTCGGGTCAACCGGTCCCTATATATTTTTTTTTTTATTTTTTTATGTAAAAAATAAACACTATGTAAATATATTTATATAGTAAATATTTATCGTGAGATACAATTCTTTTATCACTTTGATGTACAAATTTTATATAAAAAATGTTTATTTTTGTTACTTTTATGTTATTTATATGTAAAAAATACTATATATATAATTTTAAAAATTTTAAAATTAATTATCCAATTCTATAATTGATCCGATGACCGACGGTTGAACCGGTGACCCAGAGACCTGCCTTGGGTCAATGATTTCGGGGTCGAGTTTAAAAATTATGAAGTAGAGTGTAAAAGAAATGAAAATGATAAAAAAAAAATCTCGCTCCCTCAAATACCTGCTTTGATTAAAACCTTTTTACTCCACAGTCCACACTCCACAGTCCACACTCACGTTACTGTTCCTTTTACCCCAGATTTGAGTTCAACCACACGGTTTGATGATGGAGCTGACGTTTCGGTGACTATTTATTTATCTTCACAGCCCTTCAGATTCAATTCAATGTGGGGATTATTATCTGCCCCCACCTCACGATCGAGCTCCTTCATTTACTTCCATTACACTTTCCCATTATTTTATTACTATTCTTTTTTCTTCAGATGCCTACTCTCAACCTAGCCAAGCTACCGCCAGCTGGAGTGTGTGTGAGAGAGAGAAAGAGATTCAGTGAGAGAGAGAGTGATGAAAACCTGATGAATCATTGACTTTCAAGCTCCAAGTTTCGGATCCGTTGTTTTTTTTTTCTACTAAGAGAGTAAGGGGTTTCGAAGAATGAGGGTTTTGGGGGATTCTTGGTGCTTCTGCAATGGTGGCGGCAAGTCGGAGAGAATGAAGGCCTCCATTTTCTCCGGCAAGTCTCCGGCCATGGCCAGAATCAACGACGGCGGCACTGGCTTCTTCATCCACCGGAATTTGCTTCTCACCACCCATGCCAATCTCCCGTCGGTGGCCGCTGTTGAGGCTGCCGAGATCCGGCTTCACAATGGGCTATCCGCAACCCTCTTTCCTCACAGGTCAGCATTCCTGAGTTTGCGCAAAATGCTTGTTTTTTTCCATCTGTAACATGTAAATGATGTAATAATGTGTTTTCTTTTGTTCATTCATTTTGGTAAGTGTTGTTGGCTGACTGTATATTTAAGTGGACAGTGGTCAAAGGTATGAGCTTTGAACAAGCAATCTAAATCTTTTATTTGAATTCCATCGGCTGATAGATCTTGGATCTGATAGTGGCCGAATTTTGATTCGTTGTCTGAACATTTACTGATTGGAGATACATTTTATCGTATAGTATGTGAGGATTTACATTTTCTGAGCACAAAGATAAGCACTGAGAAGAACGTAATGATGGCCCAAGAGTTAGGTTGTTTGCCAAGCTTTAGTTACTAGGATCAATTTGGTGAATCATATTTTATCTGCTTTTGCTTTCAGCTTTTATTTAATTGACTAATGACTATCATTGTGAATTCGTGATTATGGAATCTAATGATGGCATTGTATGGTAAGATGTCGTCTAGCTTCTGTTAGATTGATCTAAATCCATTCGACTTATGATAGGTTTTATGACGATAAAGGGACAACCATAATTGATTTAATAATAAGAACAAGAACAGTAGTGTAGTTACAGCTTATAATGACTTTTGGATTGTTGCGAATACTTGTTGTAACTTCTATACTGTTAGATCAGCAGACAGATTGCAATTTTAAAGGCCAAACAGGCTTCTGAAGGAGCAGTCCGTATCTTCTTTTAGCTGATTAATGTTTTCCACAGTGAAGATAACTTGGTTTAGTTAGGTTTGGTTTAGACTAATTACAGATGAACCCCTATCTGTTGAAATTTCTAACGATACCACATATTTTCTTATTCATTCTTTTTGTTTTTCCTTTTTCCTTTTCTTTTTTTATAAGATAAAGAAGTTCTGTCAGGTATTGCTAAAGTCTAAAGAGAAATTCGTAATTTCTAAGTTCAGAAAAAGTTGAAACAATCTTTCTTGTAAATGTGTTCATTAACATGCATTTGCTAATGCTGACTCGCATAACGATCCAGAAACAGCACAAGTAATTTATGCTTCTCTAGAAGCTTTTGGTTCATCATACATGTCTTTGTGAATCCGGAGTGCTATTAGTAATGTGTAACCTTTATGCTTCAGCCACTATGCTTCGACACTATGAAATAAACCAAAGTCAGTAATCATTATTTTGGTGAGTGGATTTGCAAATCCTCCACCTTATCATGCTTTAATAGCTCGTTATCAATAGTTGATTTGTATTGTACCATTCAATTATGACAATGATTTGTGAAGATTTCATAATGAATTGCATATTTCTAAATACTGGTGATGTCTAATATGTTTCCTTGGTATTCATCTGGGACTAAATTTGTGTAATCAATTTTGGCATTTCAAATATACTGCATGACTTACATATGGTTAAAAAATAATAGATGAAACACCGGGTTGAATCTCTCAAACGCATATGGCAAAATATATGTATCAGTTCCATTTATATTTCTAACTACCGAGTACAATCTACCTGATAACTGTTGCTATTTGCATTTTGGAACTGTAAGATCTGTGGATCAACCACGGCATTACAAAGATACCGATTTCATTAAGTATGTAATAAAGCATACTGATTCAAACTTAGATTGATCACGATGGAAAGAAAGAGCTAATTAATTCACTCAATTGTTTTCAGATTCTTCATCACGAGCTCGGTTCTTGATCTGACGATGGTGGGCCTGGACGCCCTCGATAGCGAGTCGGGCCTGCAGCCCCACCACCTAAAAACATGCCCGAAGCCCAACCTGGAGCTGGGGAGCACGGTCTACCTCCTGGGCCACACCGAACAACACGAGCTGGCGGTGGGCGAGGGCAAAGTAGTAATAGCCACCGACAATCTCATCAAACTCTCCACCGGCGGTTGGAGCCCCGGCTCCGCAGGCTTCGACGCCCACGGCAACCTCGCCTTCGTGGTCTGCGACCCCATGAAACTCGCCACGTCATCATCACCCAACGCCGCCAGGTCATCGTCTCCCACTTGGTCCTCGTCGGGCTCATCCTCGAAGAGGGACTCCCAGCCGACCCAGTTCGGGATCCCCATCCCGGCCGCCCTCCAGTGGCTGGGCCAGCACTGGGAGGGCAATCTCGACGAGCTCAACAACAAGCCGAGGCTGCCACTCATGCGGATGATCTCGTCAACCGACCACTCGTGCCCGTCCTTCACCATGCGCCCCGTCTTCAAACCCGCCACCGGCGAAAACGAGAACTCGGAGAATAATAATCTCCCGACGACTCCCCAGATTCAGCTCCTGGACATCAATTTCCCGCCAAGGGCTGTTAGGAAAACGGCGGCGCTGCCTGGGGGCGACCAGAACTACGTGAGGGATTTGGCGGACGCTGAGTCGACGGGTTCGGCTGATGTGGTCGGGGACGACGAGCCGAGCAGCGAGGGGGAGGTGACGACTATGTACTCGGCGGAGACTGCGGAGAGTCGGAACATTCCGAGCCCTGGGGGG